TTAACTGTAATTATTACCCATTATTGCATGGTCCTTCTTAAATGGAAACTTTACTGTATACTTGCACTCTTTTATATCAAAATAAATATTATTTTTAAAATGTTTAACAATATTATTCTTAACTCCTGAATGCTCTAAATCCCAAAGTTTTTTAATTTTAATATTAAACTGTGGAATTTTAAAAACGAATTCCGCTTCAACTTCTAAAGTATGTGTGGAAAAGACACAACAATCTCTTCCAGATGATGTATTAATATGTACATATAATATACAACCAACTGTTGACTACAAAGCAACAGGACCTGTATTAGCACGAATTACTTTCCCATTAAAAATTGACCAATAATAGTCTGCTCCAATTAATATATCAACTTGCAAGGACTTACGATCGACATTGCTATCAGCTAAAGTGATACTTCTTAAAAGTTTAAAAGAACCAACAGCCTTCTCTATATATTGACCACTAAGAGGAGCACATATAGGCTTAACAAAACAAGTTATAGATACTAAAGAATACTTTAAAGTCAGTATATAAATTTTAACCATATCTAAGGTCTGTGTTTGACTCTTTGCCAAAACTTGCCAAACTTTGCCAAACTTTGACTCTTTGCCAAAATTTTAATGTTTAATTGCTTCCTCCTTATTGTGGGTAGAAAGAGCTTTTTTCGTAATGATGGGGAAACATAACTTAGCTGAAAACAACTATCAAAAAGAAGAAGACATCTCAGTGTCCTATCCTTATTTTTATCAGTAACCATGGCAGTTTGCAATAATACATTTTTAGATTTTAATGGTTCAGTAACAGCAACAGATGTCAATTGATTGTTTGATTCTTTGTTATCATCGTTATGTGAAGGAAACTTTTTAAAACACATAGACACATGATGTTTACCTGAGCACTCAAAACATGTGATTCTAGAATGATAATCCTTAGCCTTTTTTCTCTTAAAATTTTTCTTCTAGAAATTATATTTGTCACAGTTTTACAATTTTCATTTTTTGTGATTTTTACTACAAAAAATTCATTCTAACTCGTATTTTGGCTTAAAAGAAGCACTAGAATGTAGTACTTATGCTGTTGAAGGATTAAAATGACCCTCTCTACCTGATTGTGATTTTTCCGTAGCTTGTAATTCAGATTTTAAATCTTTTAAAACATACTTTATGTCACAGTTATAACAGGAATTAATGTTTCTAGCAATTGTTAAATTTAATTCATCTGGAATTTGTTGCACTATAATAGGTATTAGCAAAGGTCCGTACATAGTTGAATCAATACCTAAATTTTTCAAACTTTTAATTTGAACATCTATAATGTTTACATGTCTTCATAAAAAAATATTGCCAATACTTTGCATTATCTCTACAGATAGGAGTGACTTCATATGTGTTGAAATTAAAAGTTGTTTATCATTAAATCTTTCCTTAGGCAGTTCTAATGATGTATGATAGTTGTCATTTATTACACCTAAACCTGAAATTGTTTTTAAAGTTTTTCCCTCAAGTAAATTTCGTAAAAATTTAGGCTTTTTTATTGCGGAAAGGTCAATATTATTATGAATGCCACAATCAAAATTTTCGTAAAAAGTTTGCCATTCTTCCGGAATCCCATTAAAGGTACTTAATTTTAAAGCTGGAAGTTTAATATTATTATTTGCAAAAGTTTTTATACTGCTAGATAGTGCGTCATTGTTAAACTTATAAATATTATCATTAAATTTTCAATTAATTTTAGATTCTTTTTAAAATATAAAGAAAATTCAGTATCTAATTCCTCTTCTATTTGTAATTCTTCATCATCTTCAATTATATTAATCAAATCATTACCAATTGCTTCAACCTTATTATATTTTTCAATTAAAATTTCTTTAAAATTAGTTCTTCGAACGAGTAACTATCTTGGCTAAAATTAGCAAAAATGAGTTTTTAGTGACCGTAATGGTACGAATACGTCGTTTCTCAGCAACACTTGACATTATAAAAAAATCAATATGAATGTCAACAACAAATAATGTTAACTTTAAAAACTATGGTTATTCTGACATAAACACAAATTATTCACAAATATATATATATCTTTTTTTAATGCTAATAAAAATATGTGCATTAAATAATCTCATAATACGGATTAACCACAAAAACAAGTACAATGTCAATAAGTACGTAACTTTAACTTTCTTTTTACAACTTCTTCAAATTTCTTTGAATTGACAACAAAAATTAACTGATAACTTCAGGATCAGCAAAAAAAATAAGATCTCCGTGGGCTCCAAAATATTAAGTATTTTAGTTAATAAACTGTTTACGTAATTAAAAGACTTATTTAGTTATAATCATTTATTATGAATAATAAGAAGCATTGATGCAAAATATACTTAAGAAGTTATATTAACTGAGTAACTCAACTAAGTAATTCAACTAAGTGAGTAATATAAACTAAAAGCATGGCGAAATATGCAATGCAAATCGAGAAACAGTCTAAACCAATGGATTATTCGTGTGAAGCCAAATAGACTTCAACTAACTGTATTACTATCGTGTATACCAATATTATTACCAAAAATTAGAAAAATCTTAAAAAAAGCAGGTAAAAGCGCAGTCTCATAATCTAGTACAAATAGTATATCTTTGCCAACTTCACGCAACAAAACAAAACTACCGTCGAATACCTATCCTGAAGTATACCTAATAGAATGCGAGTGTGAACAAAAATACATCAGTGAAACAAAAATGAAAATAGCAATTAAACAAAACAACACTAAAAAAATATTTTTAAAAAAAATTGGAACAATCAGCAATTGGGCTACACAAAAATTATATGTCCTTGTAACATAAAATAGGATCAAGTAAAAGCAATAATAACTTTAAAACATTGTAAGAAATGTTTGAGAAGCATTCAAAATTCAGGTTAAGAAATGTGGAAATAAGAACGATGGTATGAACTTATATAATAGTTAGTATGTAAAAACGCAACTCTGGATATATATATATATATATATATATATATATATATATATATATATATATATATATATATATATATATATATATATATATATATATATATATATATATATATATATATATATATATAAATATATATATATATATATAAATATATATATATATATATATATATATATATATATATATATATATATATATATATATATATATATATATATATATATATATATATATATATATATATATATGTATGTATATATATATATATATATATATATATATATATATATATATATATATATATATATATATATATATATACATATATACATACATAAACATTTATAAATATATATACATATTTAAACAATTTTAAAAAATGTATTCTACAAAATAGAGTGCTCAATGTTTTTGAATGAACAGAGCAATTATAAATTAGTAGAAAATCACTTAACAAAGAAGAAAAAAAAAAAAAAAATTAATATTTAACTTTATATAAATAAATATAAATATATTAATATATATAAAAGATTATTTTAATATTTAACTTTATAAAGATAAATATAAATATATTAATATATATAAAAGATTATTTTAATATTTAACTTTATAAAGATAAATATATATATATATATATATATATATATATATATATATATATATATATATATATATATATATATATATATATATATATATATATATATATATATATATATATATGTATATATGTATATATATATATATATATATATATATATATATATATATATATATATATATATATATATATATGTATACATATATATATTTATACATATATAAATATATATATATATATATACATATATATATATATATATATATATATATATATATATATATATATATATATATATATATATATATATATATATATATATATATATATATTATTATAGTAATTGTCATAATTGTTTTTGAAACGATCAACTGAATTCGCAGCAACTACCGAAGCAGGCAAAGCGTTCCATGATGACACCACTCGGTTTCTAAAAAAGTTATGTCTTTGAAAGTTTTTCGATAATTCTCAATCAATTTTATGCTTGACACCACGAAGATGACTTGCAGGACCATCACATAGGAGTGCACTTGCTCTGTTAATCTGCTGTTGCCAGTTAACAATATTTAATTTTTTATAAATTTTAAAAAATTGAATTACATCTCCTCTTGTTTTACGAGACCAAGATATGCTAATCGTTTCTTGTAATTCAAGCTGCAAATTTGTGGAACAAGTTTGGTAGCTCTTCGTTGGACCGACTCTAACTTTTTAATGTCCTTTAGAAGAAAAGGGCACCAAATTGGTGCACAGTACTCCAATATCGGTCTTACATATGCTGTATAGAGCTTCACGAACATAGTTTAATTCCATTTTTTTAAAGTTCTTTTGAGTATCACAAGTATAGAATTAGCTTTGAGAGTGGCATCACTAATCTGATCTGACCATTTCAGTTTATTATGTATCAGAACACCCTATGTTCTTTCAACGGATACATCTTCAATAGGAATTTGACTGCTATTTTTATCTAACACTGTCAAGGGGACATTGATGTCTGTGGAACCACCACGGAACTTTAGAAGCTTGCATTTATTTATGCTAAGTTCCATGCACCAAAGTCTTGACCAATTACATATCATATCAATATCATTTTGAACTAAAACCAAGTCCGTAACTGTTTTTAATTTGACAACCAACTGGCTATTATCAGCAAAGAATTTGCAATTATTTTTGACTAATTCTGGCATGTTGTTAATATAGATCAAAAAAAGAAGAGGTCCTATGACTGATCCTTGAGGTACATTATTATGGACATCCTTCCGGTCGGAAGAGAAATTTCCTAGAACAACCCCCTGTTTCCTATTTTCAAATCTTTAAGCCAGGCAAGAATATTATTGCCAAAACCATAGCCAGCCAGTTTGTGATAAAGCAGAAGATATGATACACGATCAAAAGCCTTGGCAAAATCTAACAACTGAGCAATGCAGCACAGTTGTCACTTTAAGCTTTGGTAATCCATTACTTCAAGAAGATTTGTGACACACGATCTAGATTTGACAAAACCGTGTTGATGGCAAGATAATAGATTATGCTTAACTAGGTGTTCATTCATAACATCACGCATTATTTTCTCTATTACTTTTCCAATAGCTGAGGTGAGGGAAATAGGCCTGTAATTTCGAGGATCAGTACGCTGACCTTTTTAAATATTGGTTTTATATTATTATAATATTATAAGAGGTCAAGAGGTCGTTCTCGAACATGCTACTATATGGATATATATATATATATATATATATATATATATATATATATATATATATATATATATATATATATATATATATATATATATATATATATATATATATATATATATAAATATATATATATATATATATATATATATATATAAATATATATATATATATATATATATATATATATATATATATATATATATATATATATATATATATATATATATATATATATATATATATATATATATATATCCAAATAGCAGCATGTTTAAGAACAGATTTTACATTCAAATGGATACTTACAAGGACATTAGCAGAGTCGGGGACAATTTAGTGTACCCAATAATTTTTTGTCCTCATAAGTGGCGTTTTTTTTGTAAAAAAACGTCCCTGTAAATAATTTTTATGCAAAAAGAAAAAGTACATACATCGACTGAAAAATAGCCTGACTCCCAAGGAAGTGCTACTACATTGACTGAGGGTTTGGTTCGGCCAAGCAGCAAGGTCAGGCATAGAGTTAGGGTTAGGGATAGGGTTAGGATTAGTTATTTTAATGTAAATAATCGTTTTGTAAATATATATATATATATATATATATATATATATATATATATATATATATATATATATATATATATATATATATTATATATATATATATATATATATATATATATATATATATATATATATATAAGTATATATATATATATAAGTATATAAAATATAACAGATAATAATTAAATAAAAATAAGAAAAAGGTTAATAAAAAATAAATTTTTTTTACGAAAATAATAAATTTAAAAATGAATAAATAAAAATTGACATCATATAAAAAAAATAAAGAAAGAACATATATGAAAAATATAGAAAAAATAGAGCAATAAAAGTTGCAAATAACAGGAGAAAAAAAAAGTACACGTAAATCAAGCACTAGAAGTGTAATATATATATATATATATATATATATATATATATATATATATATATATATATATATATATATATATATATATTACACTTCTAGTGCTTGATTTACAGGTACTTTTTACTTTTAAGTAA